GAGCTTATTAATTATGAAGGAGTTGTGTTTCATCGTGACAATGTGAGATCACACACAAGTTTGATCACCCGTCAAAAATGATTGGAGCTTGGATGGGATGTGTTGCCACACCCACCATACTCGCCTGACCTTGCACCATCAGACTTCCACTTGTTTCGCTCTCTTCAAAACTCTTTGTGTGGTATAACGTTCAATTCAGACAAGGCTGTAAATCAGCACCTTGTTCAGTTTTTTGCAAATAAAGACAGGTCCTTCTATGAATGAGGAATTATGAAGCTCACTGAAAGATGACAAAAGGTTATCGAACAAAACGGGCAAAATATCATTGCTTGATCTTTGTTCTTTATATAAATAAATGACCTTTGAAAAACATAAACAAAATATGTCATGACTTTTCCAACAACCCAATAGGTTCAAAGAGTCTCGTGGCAAAAGTCATTCCTCTGCCCTACTGCGTACGCTCATCAGGGCTATCAGGACAGGATGTGTGCAGGCAGAGGCCAAGGGCATGAGGCTGCAACCTGCCCTCCACGCCTGGCGACCTCACGGGTAACACCACGTCAGGACGCGGCACTCGGGGCACCGAGGGGGAGCCTGATGTGCTCTGTTAACAAATCACACACCAAATCTGAGATTGGAGCGTATAAGGAGCCAGACCTGTGAAGGAACAGGCAGGGGAGTCGTGATGCGTTAACTATGGCGGACGCCGTCAGGGTCTGGAGGCTGGCACACAGGGCACTGGAGTCACACCGGGGTGAGCGGTGAGGGAGTAAGTCGTGGGCAGCGGGAGCGCGGTGTCCCCAGGGGAAAGCATGTTGGCCAGAGATAGGATGGGGCGAGGAGGGGCCACGGGGCGAGGCCAGAGCTCAGAGGAGGAACAGCACACAGAAACAGTGATGGCTGGGAACCGAACAGGACAGAAAGTCCTTTACACCTGGCGGAGGTGTCAGGTCCGTAACTGGACGTCGCTCCACCTTCATCCATAAACAGGGCTCTCCGATCACTAGGAACATTCTGAGTGGAGGCGTTTATGCAACTTGGCTACTCCTGAATGGACAGAACATTCCAAAACCACATCTGCCCCTGTGCCGTCCTTGAGCGAATCACTGCCTCTCTCCATGTCTGTTTCTTCAGTCGTTACGTTAAAGGGGTTAACGAAGTGGTCTGTGTGGCTTCTGCAGACGTAAGATCCTGTGACTCCATTAAATCCTGTCCATTGTGCAAGGCTGTTCTGAAAGCCTGGCTTCTCCACAAAACTTCCCCAATCACGTGACGAGATCATGGAAGTAACACCAGGAGCTGCGGCAGTGAACAAACCTCTCCACTTCTCTGAGCGGCAGAGTTTTGTTTTTCTTTTTCCTTTCATCTGTAGAATGATGAGATGAGGCTGGGCTAACGATTCTTTAGGATCTGTCCTAGCTCTAAAATCACATGATTTACATCAATCTAAATCTACCCGTTTTATCTTCCCTTCCCTGAACTTTTTGTCATAATCGGTGCCGCATCCATCAAACATGACTGACGTTTTATTTCCCAGTACAAGCATATTTTACAGAAATTTCTTAGCTCAGGCACCTGCCTTGTACTCCTTTTCCGTTCTACGCGGTACTGTGTGCAACAACAGACCCATCATCAGATCTCCCCCGAACGCTCAGTAATTGACGGAAACTGAGATGACCGTTTTGGTATGAATGTAACATCTCTGCACACTTAGAGAAAAAAATAACATGACAATGGCACTCTGGTTCTTAGTTTTTGTAAAAGCCTGTGGCACCTGAAAATAGTATGACAGTAATCTGTTTCTTGGTTTTTTGGAGTTTGTTTTTTTTAAATAAAAGATACTGAAGCCTGAAAAGCAAAATCACACAGACATCAATGTGAACCCAATCATTTAAGGATTATTTTTCAATTAATCCTTAAAGATAATCACATTGAATGCTCTTTCTACCCAAATTGTGTAGGCTAGCCTTCCATTACTGCCACTTCCTGTCATCCTCTCTGAGTCTTTCTTTCCCTACGTCACGCTGCCCTCACGAGTGACAGCAGATGGTCCCCGTAATGAAACTGCTCCATGAGCCTCGGTGCCTCCTTGCCCTGCAGGTGGGAGCCCTCAGCTTGAAGTGTTACAACCTTAGGCTTTTACTCTAATGTTATTTTTATTACTCATGGGTTACAGAGCCCTAAACACACTGGGATTCGTAATTCACAAATAGCTCTTGTGCTTTTGTGATGTTTGAACAACTTGTTCAACTAACAACAACAACAAAAAATTGCATTCCCTTTTTTAATATCCAAGATTGGTTTTAAAGGAAATCAGGCAGAAATTTAGGAAGTATTTAAGGTAGCACAGGAAAGGAGCACTGGTTTAATAAATATGTAAATGAATTTCATATAAGAAAAAGACAATATGTTACAAAACTCTTATCTGATGAAGTGCTATAATCAAATTTTATGTCTTCTATGAGTAGAATAATAAAACTTAATATAATCATTCAAGGAAGTAAAAAAATTAATTGACATTCAATTATATATTGATAGGAAAAACTGAGTAATGCATTCTTAAGTAAAATGCAATTTCAGATTTTATTCATTTATTTAATGTATATTGATTCACATAACAAAAGTGATGTTTTGCTTGCTTAATGAACCAAGAGGAGAATATTTTCTTTATATTTATATTGAATTTCAATTAATAAAAGTTCAGCAGTCAAACTGTAGTGGTACTTAGATTAGCTCACTTTTCTAATTATCTATCTTTTCGTTTGTTTCTTTTATTTAGTTTGTTTTAGGGGGAAAAAGTAATGATACCATCAAAGTGCTCATGGAACACATGATGGTAAAACTCTTTATTAATGTAGTAAATAAACATTTATCATTACTATTGCCTACTATGTATACATTTTCATAGATTGGAATTACTTTATTTTCCTTGGCGAGAACAGTCCCTTCTAAAAAACTACAATCAGTATGTGCTCCAAACACATTTGACCACATCCACACATGGCACTCACATTCCATGCATTTGGTAAAATAAGTGATATTATAGGTAGTAGTACAAATTCCTGGGGGAAATATTACTTTTAACTGATAAAAGGACACATCAGAGAAAAGCAACACGTTTTTAGTTTGGCCTGTTCTGTAAAAGGACATGAAAGATCACAGCTGGCCTTCTGTCTCTGTGGGTTTCAATCCAAGGATTCAACCAACCGCAGATTGAAAACAGTATCTCTGACCCTCGGTTGGGCACTGGGGACACAGGGCGCTGACCGCATGTGTGGTTCTACGCTGTTTTATGGAAGCGACTTGAGCACGCAAGGAGCTTAGTGTCCGCGGGGGTCCTGGGACCCATCCCTTCAGCTACCGACAGTACTGACAAATAAGGCACATTTAAAAAAAATACAGCATAACAAATAAGTCAAATTATTTATGTTTTGTTTAATGCATGTGTCTACTTCTACCAAAGAAAGTTATTAGCAAAAGCATATTTTCAAAATAAAAATTAAATACAAATGAAACTCCTCTGATGTTAGAAATCTTAATGACAACAGAGGTCAGTGTATTATCTCCATGCCTGTTTGCCATTTCACTGTTAACTGAATAAATTAAACACTATTTTTAATATCCTAAAATCCCAACTAGGTCTGACTCTTTTCAGACCCTCAGGAAGAACATGTGTCTGGACAACTGGTATTAAGCACAGATATAATCAGGTAATTTCATGCCCCGTGTCTATAAATCAATTCAATGTCATCTTTTTGTGATCAACTCATTTGGGCTGATTTAATCAAATTATAGTGTAGGGTAGCTTATGTAAACTGGAACTTCCTGAAACGTTACTTTCAGTCCCACTAAACACTTAAAGCCTGCACTGTTTTCACTGGTTAATTATAATTGACAGGCCACTTAAGGCCTGAAAACCTGGTAACAGCAAGTGATGGCTGAAACACAAAAATGTATTTGTCTCATGAGTGCATATGGAACTTGCTGTCAAAACCTGAGACTGATTCCTACTGACAATTAAAATTGCCTTTTAAAAACATGCAAATGTCCAGTGCCCCTCTTTACAGGAATTTTATATTTGTGTCTCAAATTAAGTGTAGGCACTGCCAAGTAACTCTCCCAGGAGAAGCTTTCAAGACCCACCAATCAATCTGAAACATGCAATGTTTTCATTAATTTCCCACTGATCTATATAATACAGAAGCAACTCAAATAAGGTAACTTGGGGGAATACGGTGCAAGATCGAATGAAATTGAGTTTCTAAAGTTCGTAGAAGTACACAGGTTCGTATCTTTAGGCAACAGGGAAACTTGTCCAAACGGTAATTCCTGAGAAAAAAATTGTCCACCCCGTAAATAAGTTTTTAATTTCCCTGCCACCTGTACACAGGCATCCCACAGTCGAGCCCGTGGACTTGCCCACGGAGGGGCGCAGGGGTTCAGGCCCGTCCTGGCGGGAAGACCGGCCCAAGCAGCCCCAGCCTTGGGGGGCGGCCTCCTCTGTAATCACATGTGGAAACCCCACTTGCCGAGGAGACGCAGGCGCAGTCAGTGGCCACGCACGAGTAAGGACACACGGCGTCCGTTTTCAGGAAAACAGTGGACGCCACTAAACAGACGCCATGACCCATCACCTGTCTGTGCAACGTCACACAGTCAGTTTTCAAAGGTGAAAGTTGTGTCAAACACTGGCTGGTAGCAAAGCCATCCACGCGGTATCAAGGATTTTGAACTGAATTAGCCAAGTGTTTTGACATCTCTGGAATTAGGTCAAAAGCAAATACCTATGAGCAATATTTCTATTTTTATATCTAAAGCCATAGTTGTCTTTGTATATGCAGAGAAATATTTCAAAGAATTTAGAAAATTTAATAAAAATACCAAAATTTGAACTATATTTTGGTGACCAAGTCATAAGCGTTTGATTGCTAGCCAAGGAAAAAGGTGTGCTATATGTTCAAGTTCAAGAAAACAAAGCCAGTGACATTAAGCCTTTTTACCTGAATTCTTATTGGTTTTGTTCTGTCGACTTTTAACTTGTTCAGTCCAAAGCGTAGGGTAACGTGATGCAATATCTAACAAACCAAAATAAAATGATAATTATTTTTAATTCATCATGAAAACACAAAGTCTCTCAATTAAAGATTTCAGCAGGTAGCCTAAAAGCCAAAAAAATCAATATAATAAATAAATACATATCGTACATTTAAAAAAATAGTTGAAATAATTATGTGCACGAGACAACAGAAAATAATAATATACATTTAAAAATTTTTAGCATAGTTTTTTTCTTTCTTTCTTCATCCAAAAATGTAAATAAAAGTTATATGAATCCAGACAGGCTCCACCTGACAGAAGCAGGAGTTAGCAGAAAGCCCCAACGTCCAGAAATGTCCCTGTGTGGTCAAGAGGGGCGTCAGGGAACATACAGGGCTTCACTCAGTTACAAGTCAACACAAACGGTAACATTAAGATAGAACTTTTGCGCGTCTTTTCAGTGGCGTGTGTCACGGACATAATTTGGTATTTACAGCGTGGGTCCGTCACACTCTGTGCCTGAGCACCTCACTGACGCAGGCTGGCTGGGTCTGGCCCACAACTGCCATTGACCGGTCTCATGACCTGGGACAGGTGACCGCGGTGCGCTCACCTGGGAGGCAGGCGTCTGAGGGCTCCGTGAGCAGCCGGGCCACGCGGGGTAGTGCAGCGCCGCGCCCGTGGTAGTCACTGTGTTACTATCATTATTGTTGTTGTTATTATTGTTATTATTATTTGCAAACTGCGATGTAATTCTATGTCACGGATTGATTTATAATGCGCGTTCCTTATAGTCTGTCTTCAAACCCTGACCCCTTTTGACCCGAAAATTGGTGATACATCGGCAAATACCTAAGACAGTCTCCCCAAGGCTGAGAGTAGGAAACCCACCTGTCGTGACTACAGAATTCGGTAAACCTGGGGCGCACCCTCTGTGCCCGTGACTTTGCACAGCTGATGCATGTGCGATGTGACTGACGGCTGTGACACAGGACCCGGCGAAATGGCACGTGCCATCGCGCTCTTCCGAAGCACATACTCTACCTTATCTTAACTATGAAATGTCAGTCAGCCGTAGCTCTTGGTTTAAGGCACCACCTTTGTGTCACACTATACGAAAGCACACGGCAACATTCACAAGCCCACAGGAAAGACAGGGCCGCTCAGGCAGCAGGAAATGGCCGTGTGGGTCCAGTGAGAGTGGCGTTGCACAAGGTGGCAC